CTATCTATCTATCTATCTATCTATCTATCTATCTATCTATCTATCTACCAAATAATTTGGAAATTTATGTTTCATAAGGTTTAAAACTCTTCTCAAGTATGGAGGAAAGTAAACATCTTTAAGAATCATTGGTCCTACATTTGCTGGACAGAAGAGAAAATAACAATTTTTTGCTATGCAAAATTATTGCCCTGACATGAGGGTAGAGCTGTGGGCTGTAAGGCAAGCATTGAGGTACAGTAAAGTTAGGGAGAGGAGAGAAAAAAGAAAGATGAGGAATTTCTAGGATAGTTTTCACCTATCTTGCAAGAATGCTTACTGGAATGGGAAAAATCTTGTTATTTTCTCTTCTGTCCAGCAAATATGGAAGCTTGCTAGAGAAGAATAAAACTAAGCAGTAGAGGTTACTGGTAGCTATAGCAGCTGTGTACAGTATCTTTCACAGGGTTGTGATTTCTTTCTGAGCCTTTAAAACCAAAAAGAAATTGTTTGATGGGAAGATTTTCTCAGCAGATCACCAGCTCTGTCAGGTTCCTTCTCCATGCAAATCAGAATTTTTCATGGGAAGTTGTATTGCATGGTGTCTGGAGGTTGTAAGGTCTAGATCAGGGGTGTCAAATTCAAGGCCCATGGGCAGGATGTGGCCCACAAGGTGCTTAGATCTGGCCTGCAGGACTACCCTGGAAACAGCAAAGGATTGGCCTACGGTGCCTCTGCAGCAAAAATGGAGCTTGCAAGGGCCCATGCAGTCCTCCCGAGCTCCATTTTCATGGCAGTGGGTTGCAGGAGATCATCGCAGCTGAAAACAGAACTTGGGAGCTCATATTTGCTGGTAGAGCATTCAGGCCACAGGCACGCCTGACACAAGTGAATCAAGCTGGCCACGCCCCACTGGCCATGCCCACATTGGCCCCCCTGAGGTCAAACACAACCATGATGTGGCCCTCAATGAAATCAAGTTTGACACCCCTAGTCTAGATAAAGAAAAAAATAGATTTAGGTTAAATACTAGAAAGATGATTAATTCTAGAGATACAGTCCCCCTTTAGTTCTGAATGGAGTTGTCCATAAGGGGACTTGCTCACAGTTTGTGCATTCCTCTGAACTTCTGGCTCCTTCTTGAACAATAGATCTTTGCATTACTGCAACTGGTGTACAGTTTCAATGCCTTCTATGTGGAAGACTATTTGGAAGTTTCAGTTGGTCAGTACTGCAGTGGCCTAAGTAATCATGGGCTATATTTGCATAAGTAACACCTTTATTAAAGAAACAATTGCTTCCACTAAGTTTCTGGATGGAATTAAATGTGCTGTATATCACCTTTAAAGGCTTATATACTTCAGAGTCTGGATGTCTCCGAGACTGAATCTGCAGTGACATCTGGGAGAAAAGGCTTATTGAGCATAGAGCCTTTAGGAATTTAATTGCAAAGAAACTGGGGACAGAAAGAAACATTTATCTGACAGATAATTTTTTTTGACAGTGCAGTATATATTTGTTTAGAATAATATTTATGTTGGTTTAAAAAGATAAAAAGTATTCACATATGGGGTAAATTCTGTTCTAGCATTGTAAGCTGATTTTTTTGGTTGTTACTTTGTTATTTTGCAGGGATCTGTCTTCCAACCTTTTGTCTTCTCTTCCTATAATTGGTCTAGATGGTTTAACTCATTTAAAATTAACAGGAAATTATCCACTTCAAAGTTTGATATCATCTGAAAACTTTCCAGAACTCAAGTGAGTACCTCATTACAATTAATAGGGCACAGTTGTTCTCATGTGCAATGGAAGGAGTGTGACTTTACAATGTGTGTTACTTCTTATTCAAAGTCTTTGATACATTACAGTCAAACTAAGCTATACATGGCAAAAATTATATCCTTAAAATATTCTTGTTTATCCTGAGAAAATGTAATTATTTTTAACATCCTGATAGCTGCTTATTCTAAAATACACCTATTTTCAGTGAAAACTTAAGAAAGAAATATATATATATATATATATATATTTGTTTTCTGAGGTTCTCGCGGGTATTTGTATGTGGATCTTTGGTTGTTCGGGTTTTCTCCCGCGTAAGATTCGAAGTATCTAGGCAACGTTTCGATGAAGTCTCATTCATCATCTTCAGGCTTCTGTCTCCGGCTCTGTGCTTCTCAGAGTAATGGAGATTGCAGCTGCTTCCTCCTTT